AATCATTTTTCACACTTTAAAAAGCGTAGAAGCAATGACCAAATCTTAAAGAATTTATTCTAAGATTTGTAGGTATGAAAACTATCAAACGGCCAAAGGTTTTCGCATCTAGCCGAAATTTGAACACATTAAGCCAGGCTAAAACAGTCCAAAGTGACTGTTTTTGAAACGCTTGATTAAAATCGATGTTAGCGAAAAACTACATCGAAATATTTTAGATAAAATGGACAAAATTCGACGACATCCCGATCCGGGTCTACCAGCCGAAAACCCCCAAATCTAATGCGGGTCTGATTTTCTTCCATGGTGGTGGCTGGAGCACGATGAAAGCAGGTAGTGCCTTCAAGCATACCGAAATACCTCGCAATTCGGTTTTAGCCTACTACGACACTGTCCTAATTCCGTTAGTCAAGAAAATCGGGTGCCACGTTTTTTCGGTGGACTATCGATTGGCGCCAGAATTTCCGTTCCCGGTCCCGGCTGACGATTGTTTAAGGGCGACGAAGGCGTTATTAAAAGATAGGTATAGTAGCTAAATATAGCGCCAATTTTCGCGTATTTTAGAGCAAAGGAATACGGGGTCGATCCGGAAAAAATAATTCTGATTGGTGACAGCGCCGGGGGAAATTTGGCAGCTGTGACGACCTACCGGCTTTTGAAGGAAGGATTTGAGCCCAAAATTAAGGTAAGTAATATTTGGGAAACATGGACGATCAGATTTTACGTTTCAAACATCGGAAAATGTCTATAAAATGGTCAAAAAAATCATTTGTAACGTCAGGATACCTTAAAGCTATACAAGAGGCCAAGTTCATCGAAAAACTGTGAAAATGCGTGATTTATTAGCTAGAATGATTTTGAAGTCACATCCAATTGAATCCCTGATTAAGATTCAGACGTATTCTGATGTCTGAAAGTTCACAGAATTCTTGAGGATGAACTCTGAAAATCCATTAATGCAGCGATACCTTTTCCAATCAACGCTTTTCAGGCCCAAGTGCTCATCTACCCAGTGATCCACATGTTCGGCTTCAAGTCCCCATCTTTTACTGGCTACTACACCCAATATAATGGTACTTCCCTGCTCAAGTAAGCCTAGAAGGACCCTCAAAGCACAAATCAAGCACATTCTTTAGCCCTCCGACGATGGCTCGATGGGATTTGTTTTATCTTGGAGAGGATGGGTCGCGGGATAAAGTTCGAGTGCTGCTGGATAATGGGCATATTGACGAGTAGGTATTTGGTCGTAGTTGTTACTTACTGTAGTTTGTAGCAAACAAAAACAAGGTTTTCATATTTTCTTTGGTTTGAAGACCAGTTATTTTAATTTTACACGTTTTGCAAGTTGTTTATCCGTATAAACATTAATTGTCGGGAGTTTTTACTTAAAGGTTTTATTAAAAGTATTTTATCGTTTTTTTAATAATCCATCTGTTTTAGAAAACTCACCTCCCATCCTGAATTCTCGAAATGGTTCCCGAACTGGCGGGCCGAGAAGAATGAGGAGAATTTGGTCCGTAAGCAGCCGGATGAACGAGTGAGTTCTTGACGACTACATACAAACATGGCTACAAATTATGAAAACCACTTTTAATTAACGCTCCATTCCTTTAGCTCGCCACCCTCTTCCGTGAGAAGGCGACAAACCCCGAGATCTGCCCGATCTTCGCCGAAAATCTGGCCGACTTCCCGCCGACGATGGTGCAGACGGCTGGCTATGATATTTTGAGGTAGGAATTAGACAAATTGGGGCGTAATAGTAGCTTAACTTATACAAAATCACATATATTTCTGATTCTTCAGAGACGAAGGCATCCAATTCGCAAATCGGCTGAAGGAAGAGAAGGTGAAAGTCAACTGGAAGAATTATCCGACTGGGTGAGAATTTGGGATCAAGAAATTGATTTTAAAGGGAGCGTGACAGGAAGCAATAATCCTTAGATAAAGGTTTGCTCTTTTAAATAACGACAAAATCGAAAAATTATCCTGATTTTAATTGCAAACGGGCTAAAAAATTGTCTACTAAAAAGGGAGGGCAGGGAAAAAAGGTAGCTGTAAAGTAATAAAAATAGTTTGGTTTTGATGCTTATGTAAGTTTTATTTATATTAATTGATAAAACGGATTCATTAGTTAAAAATAGAACATATAATTAATTTAATGCATTAAAAAATTTAGTAAAAGATTACTTTTATTACATTTTTTTAAGGTATCACGGAGTTTTCAACATGCCCGCCTCACAATTACGTCGCGAGATGGGCACGGATATTGCCGAATTTTTGAGCGAATTTTTGTGATTTAAATTGTTTGTTTGCCGTCCTTTTAGTCGTCCTTATCCCCCTCTTGAACACCTCATATTGGCTACCGGTATTTTTGCGCTTCTAGAGTACGATACTTACTATTTCTCCTCGGCCCCGTTCTAGTCACCCATAAAATATGTCTCAACAAAAATGCCCAAAAAATGTCTTTGCTTGCTAGTTGTGTGATCTGCTCAGGTGCCATAACGTTTAGCGTGATTTTCAAAGCGTTGTGATCGTTTTTTGATAATTTTTTGAGAATGCTATTTTTCAGAAAACACAGTAATACGGGAATAGGAAATCGAAAGGAGAATACAGAAAACTTGCAGTTCCAAAAAATGAAAAAATTTAATTTTCTTAGGCTCACATGATAGCAAGCATAGCTAACTTTTCTAGTAGTTCACCAGGGTTGAAAAGCCGCTTCGCGACTTTTCAACCCTGGCCCCGTCTAACCCTATGATGTTCTTCGTTTTACATAATTGTGCCCCAATTCCGATGACAAAAAAATGAAAAACGCTACCTTCGGGCTTTTAATATATAGGCTACTGCAGCTTCCGGTGTATGTTAATTTTATCCTAACAAATTGGGTGGCCGAATTTTTACGAAAAACTTAAATGTAATGTCGAAAACAACATTTTTTACAAAATCCGATATGTGTGCAGTCATCTCCAGCCCATTACGCATCTAATGACGTATCAAACACCTCCTCAAACCCATCCCTTATCGAGATATCCTCCGGACACCCTGACGGAAGTTGCATGCAAAGTGGCACACACACACACACACAAACACTATTTTTTTATATATAGTAGGATATTTTCAAGAACCTATTTTTTTCATAATCTAGTAACGTTTGGTAACGTAAAAGTAAGTATTTCAATAATATTTATAGAAAAGCGTATGTATGTATATTCCGAGTGGAAAAGAATTAAGCATTGAAATTTTGGGAGAAAAATCGATATTGTTGTATTAGGCTACAAAAATTGTGGCATTTTTGCGCTTAGCAAGATTCAATTAAAAACAGTTTAGAAACATTGCCAACATTTATGTTAGAAAAATTGGATACTGACGCGAAACAGTTGGTTTCCATTTTGGTAACCTCCCTCCCCGATAATGCGCAAGGACCCCATGATTAAAAAAGCTTACGGTAGTTTGCCGAAAATCCCCACAATTCCAAAAAAGTACGGCTTTTTCCGCGACTTCCTGTATCCTGCACGCAACCCGCAGGCATGGTCTCCGTACCGTTTGTTTACCTAATTCTCGATTTCAATCCCTTTGCCGTGTCCGCCGAGTCTCCAATTGGCGACGAGAGGATCGGATGACCGGACGCCGTTTAAAAGACCAAGGACTTTTCCGCATCCGCTGGAAGTTTTGCCGGTGGAACGATTTGCCATTTTAAATGCCACCTGTCCTACGATTCTTTGCGTTGTTTTGGCTGCCAATAGCCGCTTACTGCGCCAAAAATGTCACTTCTGAAAGTTTTGATGTGGAGACGCTCGACTTCAAGCCGGAATTTTTGGAGGAGATACGGGTAATCGTTGAAAATTGAACTGTCTGAGAAAGAGTGGCTCTTAGGCAATCTCGGGTTTTGCAAAATGACGTCCTTGATTGAGGGTGAAATTCTGAACAAAACAACCCGTATTTCCAAATTTCTAGACTAAAGTGGTCTTTCAGAAAAAGTTTTCAAAGATTACATGTTGTTACAGGCGTATCATGTGCAATCATGAGCAAAATTGGCATTTTCAAAGCAAAGTACCCACTCATTTATAGAAATCGAATATGACCCTCGACGTCTCAACCCGGGCGAAACGTCAGATGTGCTCCGGATGCTCCTCGTGCTCCGGAAATGCTTGCGGATCTTGTTGTAGGTTACCGAGCGAATAACGTAACTTAACTTAGGGGGCTTAAAAACCTAGATACCTGGAGCAGTAACATTTGACCTTACGGTCCCGTAATGTAACATAACCGTAAAAGCCTTCGACATTTTTAGGCAAGCAATGCAGTTACCCAGGACCCTGCGGATGTCAGCCTTGTAATAATTCTGTAAGTTGCTTTATTTTCTCACATGCGAGGATGCTATATTATGACCTTACTGATACTTTTGTACATAGAAGGCATAAACATCGTGGTTTTTGTAAAGTTAATTTTCTCTAGGTTTTATTTAGGAACCTCGACCTTGCGTAAATTGCGGCTTGGCTAGGGGCCAAAATCGTTGTTGCTCTTGTTGTAGGCCCGCTTGTCGGCCTGGGTGTATGTTCAGAGGAGGTACGATATTGTACTTGTTAATTGAACTATTCAAAGTATTCGTGTACTAGCATTTCACGCTATCTTATTTCAGGCTGCAATTCGTGCAGCAGTTTCCGTTACCGCTCCGTCGACTACTACGACTATGGCTCATTCTATGGTGGCGGTGGCTTTGCTCAGTATGGATAAACAACCATATAAGTATTACTACGGCTGTAGGTGTCAATAAAGGCTCAAGTCTGAACACTAAAATAAACACAATCCACACATCCCGCTCCATCAAAGTTCGCAAAATTCGCACAGGCCAAACGAGACACAGCCAGCAGCAATCTGTACGGAATGATTTTTCTGCGGGACGGCGGGGTGTGATAGTGACGATTTTTCTGGGCCGGCCATTCTTATAAAGCGGCTTCATCTTTGAGAATTTTTGTGGTTGTTTCCTAGCTATTACAATTTAAAGGATGTGGATTGAACTTGCGGTGATTTTTGCGGCTTTTGGGTGTAAGTTTTTGTTTGGAAAAGCTCTAAAAGCTTATAAATCTTGGTTATTTTGTTAGTTGGCGTCATCAGGCTTTTCACCCCTGAATTCTGCACTCTAGACGCTCTAGCTTTTAAAACTCTTTTTCATTATATCAATTGTGAATTTTTGCGCAGCAGTAGAAATTAGCCACGGGCAAGTCGATTTTCCCGCCAAATCGAACGATTTTTACTCTCGTTGCGTAAAATTAAAATGCAACGTTTTTGGAAAAAGCTGTTTTCCCCGAACTTTTGATCCATCCGGCTTAACGTCTCGAGAGCCCTAATCGCAAAATTTTGTAGAATCCGGAATATCGGAGCGGTAAAAGCGTAGATGCCCTACGCAATTCAAAAACACGCAACATACCGCGGCGCCTGATAAGCTAAATTACCCAATTTGATCGCCACCTTCTTATGTGAATTTTATGGTAAACAGCGCGTAGCGTCGAAAAATGGGATTGCAAGAACTTGTCGCCGTGGTCACTTGGGAAAAACCGAAAAATTCGAATCAGAATGTTCTTTCTGTTTAGTGAGTTCTGCCTCGGCGAATTGCGCATGCTCGGGAAACTTCACCGCGTACAAGCCGACGTATAGTATCACGGCGGCTGAGGACCCAACGCAGATGTACGACCATTTTGCGCCGTGCTATCCCGATGGTGGTGTCTGCTACAGTATCATTAACCCGAGCGTTCAGGGTTATGGAGTTGGGGTGAGAATCGGAAAGGTCGATCCCTGAAAAATTGGCTAAAAATACAGACTCCTGAAAAACAGCGTATTGATACTTTTATATACTTGGTTAATGTTCTCAGCAGTAGAAACACAAAATTAAAACGTACTCTGTCGTACCACGTCAAACTTTAATCTTTTAGTGGATCATCATCGACAACTTCATCGTCCCAGATGGCTATAACTTTACTGTCACTATCACTGATGGAAGCGTCACGAAATTTGTGTAAGACTGCTTTCAAAGAATCGACGCTGCTTTTAGACTGACCAAAGACAACATCAAGCTGTACCGAGGCCTCTTGGCGAACTGGACCAGCACAAATGGATACATCACGATTTTCCAAGACTATGGGCAGAATGCGGGCAATAGCAAAGGTATGAAAACGCAAGCTCGGAACTATTAAATTCCTTTTTAGTTGACTTCACCTTTGACGCACATCCGATGAAGAATCGCTAACCCAAGCAGATGATAATTTCTGTGCAGAAATATAAAACGTTTGACATGAACATAAAAGCATGTCTCTCTTTTTAACGGGCAGGGTTTTCTCCGGCTCTTGAACAGCAAATTTTTAGTATTTTATGGCTACCCAATATTTTTTGCCATATTGTATGCTTTTCCGTACCATAGAAAACTTGTTGATCCGGTCGCACATTTCTCGACGCGAGTTCCATTGCTATCGAGACCTAGATATAAGGGTGTGAAGTGCAAGGCAGCATCACCGTGTGCAATAAAGCAGAACATTTGCGCGCCCGATAAGCGAAATTACCAAATTTCATGGTCGTGTTATGTGAATTTTATGGCCTATGGGGCGGAACCCCCGGAAAGGGGCGAGGCCAAGAAATTGTCTCATCACTTACTTGAGAAAACCAACAATACGGCTAGGGGACAAGGTTTAAAGATTTAGTGATCTCTCCCGCCTTCAAGAGACTCGGAAGTCAAAGTTCGTGCGTGCGAGACACCTACTGTCAGAAAAATAAGGGGATTGCTGCCGAGAAGTATGAGAAACGTTATTTTGTTGCGATAAATGCAAAACATTTGTGTAAAACGAAATGTTCACGGGGGAAAAGTCTTTTTAGGTGTGCTGCGATTACATGGCGTAATGCCTTGCCAAACACCCATTTTCCCGATCGCGGTCTTTCTCATAATCGAGAGCGACCAAAATTCGGTGAGGATTCCAATAATAGCGTCAGAATTGTTAAATTGGAGCGTTCCACCTTTCAAACACCTTCCCTGCGGGGCGGTCGCGTTGTGGCCGCATCAGGCTATTTGTCAGGAATCAGCGCTTGCGGCGTGGACCAGATTTCCGATCCCCTTTAATCGGCAGGCAGGGTAGGCAAACAATTCAAATTCCTCAGCGCCGCAAAATCGTCAACTTTTTGTCTTCGTGCCTTCCGTATTACATTAAACGAGGTACACTTACCCGGATCGCCCGCTGTATCTATCGCTCCGCCCAATCACGCCGCCCGCAATAATGTTTTTATTGGCCCTCGACAGTACGCCCACATCCATAAAGTTCGCCCATTCTTTTACCCCAACCAGCCCCCGCCGCCTTACAAACCTTACCAGTTAGAAATCTATTTACCTAAAATAGCTGAGACTTTTGAACCTCGCGGGGGTTAAAATCGCGGTGGGGACGCATTAAGCTTTAAAAGAGTATTTTAGAATCTTCCTAGGGCACCAAAACCCAACCGCAAACGCCCGGTGCTTTTTTGGCAGCACGATGATGATCCCGGTGGTGCTGGCAGCGTTCGCATTGGGTAGGTAGAGCTTTTCAAAAGCGATCATAGCATCGACCGGGGCAAGGAAGATCTCGAATTTTCAGCCCAGTCGGTTCTTGGGGCCTGCGTCTGCCCATCGAACACCAACAAATATTCGCAAACCTACCAAATTGCGACGCCATTCGATCCAGCTGATGACTGGAATGATTGCACGCCTCCAGACAATCAGTGCGTCTATACGATTGGCACAGGCAGCGATTTTCAGGGTGTAGGGGTAGGTGCATTACTTTTATATGCGTATAGGTTACGATTAACCGCCTCCAAAACCCACGTCTTTTTTTCGGGGCTAATGAAGTTCTGTCCAGGGGTGTATTCAGAAAAAAACGGGACCGCAACACTTGCGCCGCGATACTGAGTTTCAACTACTTGAAGATGCAATTTTTCGCGCGGAGTCCGATTCTGGTTAAAGAAACGATAGTAAGATGGTTTTGCGCTAGGAGTCACTCGATTTGGAGTTTTGGTAATTGAGTCTGTCTCGAGGTAATTGCTATTTCTTCCGCTCTGCAACTAGAAAAAGGCTTCGTGCCACCCGGGGCCTAGTCGCCTGGGATGGGTGCGAGCTCGTACAGGGTTTTGAAATCGGGGCGCCCGAAGCGCGCGTCGCGGCCAGGCGCCCCGATTTCGAAAAAGTGGCGCGGCAGCCCATCCGCAGCGATGGCCCACCTTGCCTGACGCCTTTGGAGCGCTCGAGATTGGCGTTGCTCACTTGCAGTCAAGTTTTGATGCAAAATACAGCAAATACATACAAAATTGGCGCGGACTACCAAATTCACGACAGTTTAAATCAATATGCGATCCGCGGCGCAAGTGTCGCGGCGCAAGTGTCGGCGGCGCAAGTGTCGGGGGAGCCAAAAAAACTTCGGGGGAGGCGTTAATTTTTAAAGAAAATTGCTACATTCACGGAAAAACAGCGCTGAAGGTGGAAAATGGTGGAAAAAAGGTTACATACGAGCAAAAATATTCATAAAAACCTTAATAAACAACGCGGTAGGTCGAAAAATTAAAAAAAGATTTTCGGGCCAGGCCGATTTCGGGGGGAGGGGGAAGGGGGTGCCAGGGCCCCTTTGTTTAACCGGTTTCACGTGCTTTCATCTAAAAACACGAGCGATCTCTTGCATTTGCCATCAAGAGCAAGTCAGGCATTGTGCGAAAACCAAGCCTTAATATCAAAAGATATTTTATTCAGCATTTTACCGCCCTAAAATTCCAAGATCCTGAAAAAGTGCTGACGGTGGTCCTGCAGGATGACATCTATAACATCACGTAAGCCTTCAACGGGAGCCAACCTGGTGTTACAGGATCACGGTCGACGATTACCAGGCGCAAAACGCCACCCTGGGCTCATATCTCCCAAAAGCTTCCGTCCTGACTGTGTACATGTTTTGGAGCAAAAGCGTGACTACGGGTAAGATTCCCCCTCTACAGTTGTAGGATCAGCGCGTTTTCAACAGGGTTTTAAAGGGAGGCCAACGGCATAGTCAATCGGATACGCGCTAGAAAGCAACATTTCTCTGCGCCTCTCCCCTGGGCGCGCTCTTTGCCCTGTTGGCTACTTGCCAATTTGTTGATGGGGGGGGATCGACACATGCCGACATTAGTAGAAGAGCGAATGCCAAAATTTCAGCGAGCGCCCTCTTCTATGGATATCCCGTCAACGTGACCGGGCCATCCCCGACCACAGTGGTTGGTTTTTAAGTAGCGCAAAATAGAGCATTTTCCTTGTTTCGGCCGTTCAGGACCTTGTGCTCTCAAACATTTTCTTTGTGAAGCACCTTCGTGGAAAGCTCTACCTGGTTAAAAAATGGAGGACGGCCCTTTTAGGCAACGGCAATGCCAACCCCAGTCACACTCAGCGGCGGTTCGCCGAGTCCGGCCGGGCTGCTCGGAGTTGACTTAGCCATCGTGCTCGACACATCGGTCACCAACTCCTCATACTTCAAAACGGTGAAATAAGTCCCTGTCGACGACTTACTGGATCGTTTTAGATGCAAGCGGTAATTACGAACGCCGCCGCAAACCTGGCAATTTACAACGATGATACGGTGCCTTACGGAGCCAGGCTTGTGCTGCAAACTATGGCGCAGACAAACCGGCCTAATAACTTTGGAGATCCTTGGTATGTCGTTCAAATACTTGAGAAATAGAAATAAGCGCATCAGACACAGGAATGTTTTGGATTCAGGGGGAGCATAGTCTTGTGGTTTGAAGGAGGATTGTGGACATAAAGGGGGCGCTTCATGTTGACCCCTTGCAAAACAGCGTTAGTTAAAAATGTATTTGACTATAAAATAAATTCACTACCGAGGGGCCTATTTTTCTAGTTTTTTGCTATTGGTTGATATAGATTTTTTGAATGGCCTACCTGTTAGAAATTTTTATGATTCGGATCGTATATTGCTGAATACCATACCTGTGGTCAAAATTTTCAAAATTTTGTCTAAATTTATAGAGAATGATGACGAAAACATTCTTTATGCTGGAAAACGTTCCCCTTAAGGCCAGATATTTGCCTTAAAGCGCACGTTCAGGGAGGCCTGTACTCCCCACGTACACCCATGGACGTAGGGACCCGCGCAGCCTGCCCGTGCCGTGGGAGGCCCCTTGCGCGTGGGCCCCTCATTCCATCGCCAGGTTGTAGCTGTGGCTAGGTGGTATGCATTCGCGCCTCCCGAGCGGGGGTCCCGGGTTCGCCCCCCGGCCGCGGCAAAAATCTTTGTTTTTTTCCAAAAAAAGTCCCTGAAAGTGCCCATTTAACAAATAGGCAACTTGCGCTGAGACTTCTAACCACTACTTAGCTAGCGCCGTCGCTGGAATCAATCAGTAAAGCATTTTAGCATTTGCAGGCATATCGACTTTGAATATTTTGGGGCGCAGGTTGGCGTCCTCCGGCCGTCTTCTTCACAATCTGTCTGGCAGGGGTGAGGAAATTGCAGATTTAAAAATTCCCATATAAGGCCACTAAGTGCCGGCCTGGACGACCCCAACGCATTTTTCAAGACCGGCACACAAGAATCGTCCACTCGCAACAACGTCCAGCGAACATATGCGATTTTTACGCAGGGCGCGTAAGTACTTTGTATTCGCCATTTGCAGAGAAGTTGGCATCATCTCTCAATAACCCCTATTATATTGGAGGGGGGAAATTTTTTTGAAAGCAAGTCCCCTACCGAGTTTTTTCTTTTTTGAATCGTTTTTAAAAATGCGGGGCCCCCCCCTTTTAAAATTAAAAAACCTTTTTTTAATAAAAATATTAAAAAAAACTTTTTTTTAAAATTTTTTTTTTTTGGGGGGGGGAGTATGGGGCCGGGGAGGGAAAATAATTTTTTATTTTTTTGTGCCCCCCCTCCCTTCACCCAAAATTTATTTATTTCAAAATAAAGCCGTCCTGGGCGGGGTCCCCCATAAAAATTTTTTTAATTTTCAAAATTCTGGGGTTATGGGGGGGGGTTTTATGTATAATCGGTTTTTTTTCCCGTTTCTTTTTTTTCCCCTCCCGCCTTTTTTTTTTTCCGTGTGTTTTTATTTTCCTCTTAGGTTTTCCCCCGTAAGGGCCACTGCTCCCTTACCTAAACGCAGAATTCTGCTAGCGGCTAAAGATCCTTATAACCGACGTCCGTAATAGCGGAACGCTTAGGTTCTCCGACGCCGATAAAATTGGAGAATTGATTGACACCCTGAAAGTTGCCGATGTGCACATGGTTGTCTTTCATTTCGGTTCCGGGTACCCCAACGCCCAGCTCCAAGCATTCATGGCGGTAAACAATAACGTAATTGTTGGAAACCCTCCATTCAGAAACCAAACTTTGATTATGTTCAATACAAAGCAGATTCACCCGATTCCTTCCTGAAAGGCTATTTGGTTCGCAGTGATGCAAGTTAGTTTTTTCTAAGTGATGGCACAAGGCACTGTAAGTCAGCAAACTTGGAAGCCCCGTTTGGAAGCAGCGAAAAATCCAGCACAAGATGGGCGTGGTTCTATTCTAAGAAAACCCGTTTACGATTAATGCTTTTAATTAAGAGACTCTGAGAAAAGTAGTAAATTTCTCCTAGCAAGGGCATCGTCATGCTCTCGGTTTTTCATACTATGAAAAGGTTAGAGGACATCAAAATGGGGCTTGCTATAAAATATTCGGACGCGGCCAAGATGATGTAGGCGTTGCCAGTTTTCCAAGGTGTGTACCTGCATTTTCAGCAAAATTCTTCGGATGTTCTGCCGGGCAAGCCGAGGCTAAGACCATCCCAGCCGAAGCCACGGGACTGACTTATTCCTGGCCACCGTATGGTCGATTTTCAATTTTCCTAGCCACTTCAGAAATTACGACACTGCGACGTCGCGGTACTGCAACAACCAAGATTTCAAGCTTTCCCTGACAGCTGAAGATGGCGTAAGTCGATTTTTTTTCCGTCAAATTGGCTAGTATGTCACTAAGATAGCAATTTCTGCTTGATGCGCGAACAAACTCAGACCAAATGTTTCAGCATAGTTGCTTTTGAAACAATAGTTTATCCGGCATTTTTTTATCCGATCTCCGCAGAAATCGCTTGCTCGCTGAGCTTGGGCCCAAAATTTCAAGCTCATCTTCCTGTTTTGTTCTTTGGTTGAAGCCAACTATTTGGTTAGGATCTTTGAACCTATAAAATATAAACCTATGCTGAGGCTACAATTTAGATGAAGGCTATCTGCATCGTGATCTCGGCTTACGAGCTAGAGACGGAAAAGGACTATGTACGGTTCTGGGATGCTAGCGGAAGCTTGCGCGCTAGGTAAGGTGTTGTCAGTTCATTGATATTGGTCAATTTTAGCCTGACTGGTATGGGCATCGCTGGGTCGAAATTCCGACTAGAGGGAACATCGGCAACTATCACATTCTCCACCAACGAATACAATGTTTTCCACGGGATCCAATTTACGGCAATAAGCACTTCCGCCGACACGTGCTAAGCCTCAGCATTGGGAGCGTGCTCAATTTCAGTCAATAATAAACTTCCAGCAAATGTATTGATCCAAATTACCATTTTTAAAGTAGCGGATGAATATTGTAAAGCGTTATGCAGCCCAGCAAGTCGCCTAACTGGACAGAAATCCATTTTAATTTGAAATTCAAGGAAATTCATCGTGCCATTCATCTATTGATCGTATTCGAGAAGTGCCTCCCCTTCCTCGCCACCCCAGCCATCCGGAGGCGCCTCGTCAACGCTGCATGACTATATTTCACGTTATCGGCCATTGTTTCCGCCCTGTCTCAGGCCCCATTCCGGCCGACAAACGGCACTCCTGAACAGATAAGGCTCCCTGAATTTTTTCACGCTTCCATGGATGGGGGCGACGCCCATTTCCTGTAATTCAGCCGGACTCTCCGGGGTTGTTTTGTAGGCAAAGCGCTACTTGTCGACCTGCTGCGTGGCCAATAGTGTTTTTGAGTTGGTCCCACCGTGGGCTGGAGGGTTTGGCTCAATTACAGCATACCGCTCAAAATTCTGCCAGAAACGCCCAATCCGACCCAAACCCAACCCCGGAAACTCCTACGAAAACCCCACCCGAAAACCTCTATCCGAAAAACTCTCTATCCAAAGCTCTCTACCCAAAACTTTATCCGAAAACTCTCTATCCGAAAACTCTCTACCGAAGGCCTCTATCCCCCCGAAAACTTCTATCCCGAAAACTCTCTATCCGGAAGTGTTCATGCGAAAATTGTTTATCGAAGCGATTTTCTTCATCGACTATCGAGGCTAGTAGCCTTACAGAGTTTCCAGTTAATTTTTAATGAGATAACTTGTAAGCTTTACACATCCACCTTCTGATTGCTTTTGTAGTTCAATATCGAACCGCACTCTCGTCCTATCTCTCTCTTGCTTTAGCAGTTCAAACCCCATTTTTTTGCCTTTTTTTGAGCAGCCTCGCTCGATCGCCTTGATGATTGTGAGGACAGCGCTCCTGCTCTTTGGGTTAGGTGAGTTGTCTAGTTTATATAGAATCTCCATTTTTGCAGTTTCTGTGGCTTACTCGACATGTCAGTGCTCAAAGAACTACACAAAACCGTACCCCACTTTCGTTGTTCAAAGCGCATACGACGATCAAAGTTATAATGATTGTGAGCCACAGAATCCCAACCAGTGCACCGTAGTGATCAACCAGGGCGACTCATCGAAGGGAGTCGGGGTAGGAATTGGGTCATGTAAAAGCAATCATTTGCAGGGGTTCGTCGTTACCGCCATTACTGTCGGGAAAGGAAATGCCTTCACGGTATTGATCAAAGATGGAGACAAAACGGCCTTTACGTAGGTTTCATTTGCTGTTTTTGACAGTTTTTTATCCGCTTTACTCGATTAAGTACCCCGGCTCTTTCAGGATCACCCAAGCTAATGCTGCATACCAGAAGGATGCCTTGAAGGCATATAAAAGCCTCAATCCTTACGTCAGCGTTGTGCTCCAGTATAATAATGACAGCGATGGTATGTGTCACGACTTGACAGCTCGATGAACTTGTTGAACATGTTGTGTTTCGGATTTCAAAACCTGATTTTAGTGACCTTCATCATGAACGCATACCCTAGCGACCTCGGAACCACCCCGACAGCTCCACCGGTAGCCGCAACTGTTTAATTTCAAGCGCTTTAGATTGTCACTGTCCCTCCCACCGGAGGGGCCGCTGGGTTCCTGGGCGTTGATTTGGCGTTTGCATTTGACTCGACTGGAAGTGTTCAAGATACCTTCAAAACGGTTAGTCTTTATTGGCACTAGAATCACTAAGAGATGGCTAATTTTTGTGTCGATTCTGTCATTTAAATTATGAGCCATGCGCTCGAGGTTGAGTTGCTACGCGGGTTATGCGAAAAGGCAAAAACAAACACTCTCACGGTTTTCGTTCGTTCTGGTGCATTTTGGGAAACCAATGCTACCCAGCAAATGCCGTGAGGGCCTAGTACCATGGCAGGTATATTTAGTTCCTAAGTTTTTCCGTCAAAACAGTAGATCGATCGAACCTTCAAACGCCTACGCTTTTAGATGAGGAGTGTGATACAAGATGCTGTAGACAGGCTGACCGTCGTCCAGGACGTCTCGCACCCCTATGGCGCTCGCCTTTCAATTCAGTCGATTTCTTCAGCGGTACAACCCAACAACTTGGCCGTGCCTTGGTCAGTTTGACAAAAAACCGCTGTAATCAGAGGAGGATCGAATCGTATCATTTGCTCACATGCCACGAAGGCGCTGATCCTAAAGCCAAACGCATGTTTTAGGGACCTCACCAAGGAGGAATTCCTGAGTATCCTGAACTCGGTCCCGACGAGGAACCCGCTCTCCAACTACGCACCGTAGGGTTCCGGATCAGGAAAAAGACAATTCACCATTTAGTCCGGTGAAGGCCTTCCTCGGCGACAAGGGCTATTTTACAAACACTACTATTGACAAGGCCGATTCGCGCAGCAATGTGCAGCGCATCTACGCCATTTTTACGCAAAACGAGTAATTTTTTGGGGATTAGAGATGTCAGTTTGCCTTTTGGTAAAATGGCCAGTCTCGATACCAAGCTTTGCTGAGATCGGCAAACCGGGAATGAGAAGCTGAACAGTTTATTAATTTAAAAGGTTATTTTTTTTTCTTTTTCCGCCAAGTTTTTAGCCTCCAAAACGATGTCCAAGATTTTAATTCTATTGCAGGCCAAACGATTTGGAAGATCTGAAGCAAATTCTTCCAAAACTGGTCGATCGTGATGTCCATCTGGTGGTCCACTGGTTTGGCGCAAGCGCTTCTTCAGTTTTCCAAGGATTGTCTGACACTTTTACCAACTTTGCCTATCTTCGTTACGACGCAAATAACGCCGGACAGTTTTACAATAACTACATTTTGAATGGCGATACAGGTTAAAAGAACAAGAATTCTCGACCTGTATATAGACCAAAAATTCGGCTGTGCTATGGGAGCAGCAGATCAACTTGATATTTCAAAGGCACCGGCGAGCTATGCTTGGCCCCCGTAAGTTACCTGGGCTTAGGAGATAGCCGTTGTTAGGTCATACAAGGTGGGCACCAGCAACTATTGCAACAACCAAAATGTCACCGTGCTGATCAATGGCGCGAAGGTCGGTGGGATTCCATAGAAGCTTTTTTCGACGAAAACAGGCGATCATAAGTTATTTAGAGCGACACCACGGCGTTGTGCATCACAGTTGCCAACTATCAGTTGGAGATTGAGAAAGACTACGCACGATTCTATGACGCGATGGGGACCGAAGTGGCCAGGTATGCACCGGGTGATCCTAGTTCGCTTAGAAGCTACGCAAAATTAGCCTCACACACCTACGAGAGACATGGGTTCAACACTTATAGAAAATTTATTCGACAATCTAGCAAATGATCCAACCATTTTCAGCCTGACGGGTAACAACGTGCTTGGCGCCAAATTCCAAATGGACGGGAGAACTGGCTCCGCCAGGCTAACCACGAACGAATACCTCGTCTACAGCGGAATCAGCTTCAGTGTAGCCGAAACCAATACCATGCCCCCGAAATGCTTCTGATTTTTCTGTATAAATTCCATCGATGAATAATAAAAATATGGGCCTTTGCCGTTCACACAAGAAAGTCGGGGCGCGCAAAAAAAAACTATGGCTCTCTGCTTCCGCATCCCTTTTTCCACCAAGCATTTTTAAATCTTACTCCATATTTTTTTTACTTGAGAATGGGCTACGCCAGGGGCTTAGCTGACCCCAGATTTCGCGAGGTGCAGCGACATTTCGGAGAGGGCAGCGAGAGAAATTTTTACGAAAAAACTTGCACTACGGAGCACGCAACATTGGTCGCATCGTTCCTCCGTGAAAGTCCGAGGCAGAGAGATGCGCTATGCTTTTCATTGTCAGCTCAACAAAGAGCTCTTCACAAGACTATCCCTGCTAAAATAAAGCTGCCGTTTTTCTGTACATACAGGGTGTCCCAAAAAAAACGAACCATCTGCCATTTCGCCATGTTACATTCAATCGGTCCCAAATTTGGACCAGAGGTGTAAATATCAGACCCTGAATAACAACAATCCTAACTTATAGCCCTGTTGCTATAGTAGTTCTTGAGTTATGGCAAAAAAACTTTATTTTCTATTTTTCATAGGGTTTTCGTGTAATTAGACCCCCTAAACATTAAGTGAAAATGATCCGGAAGACCTTCTTTACCTTAAAAATTTTTTTGCAGAGTAAAATTAATTAAATAAGCTTCGATTTAAGCGATTTTTACAACGCAAAATTACCCAAGTTCTTAAGCGACATTAGGGATTCGCAGCCGGAAGTCGATGCAAATCGATGCGAAGTTCAAAAGAGCCGAAAAAACTACTCAGAATTCCGGGAAAAGCAGTATTTTCGTTATAACTCGAGAACGACTGTAGCTACGGGGCTAAAAGTCAGGATTGTTGTTATTTAGGGTCCGATACATCTCTGGTCCAAATTTTGGGCCGATTGGATGTAACACGGCGAAATGCCAGATGGTTCGTTTTTTTTGGGACACCCTGTACAAGAAAAGAGTCAAAATTCTTGCAACGTGCGAAGGTCTTTACAAAGCGGAGCATCAACAAAACCTGGCTGGCTATTTTCAGTGATCGCAAGTGAGGGTCTTAGGAACGATAAAGTCCATCTGGCGGCAAGTCAAAACGTCACCTTCTTTCGGGACTTTAATTGCGATTCCGCTCCCACTAATGGCCTCATTACAAAGATAACCAAGGATGATTTTTGGTTGGGCATTGGCTACGCCCATTACCAGCGAGCAATTCTTGTGGGGTATTTATGGAACCGAGACCGATTGGCTGTTTCTTACTCGATCATACAGTCGATTGAATTCGATGAAACTCCTATTAGTGAGTTCGGCATTCCCTCGGTTTTAAAATGACCGGGCGGGGCTGAAGAAGCGTTGCTTTGTAGGCAGTCAGTCATTCAAGGGCAATTTTCATTCATTAGTTTTTACGCCTTCCATAAAATACCGTGGTTTGTAAAATTTGCACATCATATGGAGGTCATTAGCGGTTTCGACTTATAACACGCTCTCTTCCTTGCACCAATTTCTCAAAAATTCGAACTCACACGTTTTTGTAGCAGTCCCTTCATTACGATGATCGTGCGGACGACGTTGTTGGTCCTTGGACTTGGTATGCGGAACCAGACACCCGTAATCAAAGACTGTTCAGCTTCTATCGCCTCATCGACATGCATGTGCTCTTGGAATTACACAAAAAGCTATCCTACCTTTGTCATTCAAAGTGCCTATGACAACGCCAGCTTCGACAATTGTGAACCGCAGACACCGAACCAATGCACCGTTGTGATCAACCAGAATGATGGCTCGAAGGGAGTCGGGGTGGGAAAACTGTTTTTTTTTTCCTTAAAAATCTATCCAATCAGGGGTTTGTCGTCACAGAGTTTGATGTGGGAAGCGGCGATTCTTTCACGGTAGTGATCAAAGATGGAGATCAAACCGTTTTTACGTGAGTATGCTCTCTTAATGGGCCTTCTTTCGTTCCCCTTGTGTATAAAAACACCTAAAAGCGCTATTATTTCAAGAAACCCCGTGCATTAATCATCCACGGCAATTAACAAAATCCAACGTTTTTTGCATAAGTACCGTGGAGCAGACAGCATTTGTTTACCGAAGAAAATTCGAAGCCGGATTTTCTTGTAGCATCATTTGAGATAAAACAGAAGCTATTGCAGGCTCTCGCGGTCCAACTACGCCAACTATAAGGAGCAACTGGCTCTCTACGCCAGTTTTAACCCAGTTGTCACTATCCTGCTTCAATACTATGGCGACAAAGATGGTAGAGGCTTCTAAAAAATTTATAGTTTAAGCGGCGGCAGGCCACTTTATCTACGCCGCGCCATAACTTTTTTATTGTTTAGTGATCTTCAATATGTATGCGTACCCTAGAAGCATTACTACCCTGCCGACAATGCCTACGGTAAGAGTCTCGAACGGTTTCATTTATGAAAGTTTAGACCCCGACACCGCCTCCAACGGGCGGGTCTGCCGGTTTTTTGGGTGTCGACCTGGCCTTTGCATTCGATTCTACTGGCACTGATCAAGCTGTCTTTACCACGGTGCGTTAATTCGCGAAAAAAATCGGAAAACGATGATCCTCTGGGACCAAGTGGCGACGTTTACCACTCGAGTATCAGGACGCCCTAGGCAAGAGAAGCTCCTTAGAGCCAATCTACGGCACCACACCACGTTGGCTGAATTTTCGCTGATTCACATAACCAGGGACTTTCCAGAATCTCAAAAAACCCTCAAACGGCTCAGAATGCCCAACCTCGGGGTTTTTTTAGCCGTTTCGAGCTGATTAACTCTGCAAAATCTATTAAAACGATCCTTTTCCGAGACTTTAAGCCAGGCCGAAATAAACAATTCTGCACAGATAGGCTTGGTCCCAAGAAAACTATCACTAAAAAGCCAATTTCAGATGAAAAAGGTCATGAAAGATACCGTCAACCAACTGACGGTCGTGCAAGATGTCAATCAGCCTTACGGCGCGCGCCTGTCGCTCCAATCGATTTCTTCCTCTCATCAAGCAAATAACCTGGCGGTTCCCTGGCAAGTTCATTTTTCTAGTCATTGACGACTGAGCTTTCAGGGCTCTTACAAAAGACGAATTTCTTCAAATCGCTGACATCATACCCACGCGAAACAAACAATCGTTCTATGTATAGTGAGCATTTTTCGAAGCAATGGTGCATCCTGATTTAGTCCCTTGCAGGCATTCCTTGAAAACCGAGGGTATTTCTCGCCGAATACTGTCGATGGGGCCAATTCTCGCACCAACGTCCAGCGAATTTATGCCATCTTCACGCAACACGAGTAATATTTTGGTGGCTTTGTTATAATAATTTCCCGGTAAAAAAACCGTTTTTGCGTCGTTAGTTTTATATGAAGAGTTTTTACCAAATCCAGAACGTGACACCGATTCGTGACAAAATTTTGACATTTTTTTTAATCATTTGCTAATGTTTTTGCGAAACGCGCGATTTTCTGATGTTTTTCTGACCAAGGGGTTTTTTACCAAAATCGCAATTTAAGAATTTTTGCGCCTTTCCCGGCAGCCCAACGACAGGGGGACAGGACACCCCTGTAGTTGTAGGATGTTGAAATCCACAAAAAATTCGGGTCACCCTTGGCAGGAATACGAATATTACTAAAAACTGTCTTAGTTGGCTGTTGCCTTTAATTTAAATCTCCATTTTAGGCCTGATGATGACCTACCAGATCTGAATATGACACTTACATATCTAAAGGATCGAGATGTCCATCTCGTGGTCCACTGGTTTGGCCCGAAACCGTCGAATGTCTTTAAATATTTGTCATCAACGTACCCGAATTTTGCCTACCTTGATTATGACCCTGCAAATCCCATGCAACTGTACAATAACTACATCTTGAACGGCGATTCTGGTAAGGGAAATTTCAAATCACAGCCTATGGACTAACATTTTAGATGCCAAATTTGGTTGTTCGAATGGCAAAACATCGGCAGTTGATACGTTCGATCAAGCCGGGATGTGGCCACCGTGAGCTGGATAATCAAGTTTTTATGTATCTTTAGAAACTACTTCCCGGGGTACATCAATTATTGCAACAATCAAGATGTCGTTTTGCAGTTTACTGAGGTTGCGGTGGGTTAAAAAAGCAGTTGTAAATCGTTGGGCGCCCCGCTAGCACCTTAAAAATTTTTCCTTTGCCTGCATCCAAGATATGAAAGACGATACGTCATTCATCCTGAAATATTTATTTCACGTGTTTTTTATCGGGTTTTTTTATTAAGCCAGTTGCTTCAGAGTAGCAAGTCGGTGCTAGAAAAAAGGGTAAAAAAGTGAGGGTCGGCGCAAATGATTGCAAAACCTTTCAAAATCAATAATTCACCACGGTGTGCATTTGCTTGTGTGTAGAAACTTGCAATAATAATGTCGAAATTTATAGTTTCGAATTTCATAATGTCGAAATTCATAAAGTCGTAATGTAATAGTTTCGACATTTCATAATGCCGAAATTTCATAGTGGCGCAATTTCATTCTCCATATTTTTTCCGTGTTTTTCGCATAGGATTTGGGAGTATTACCGGAAAATTTCGGCATTATGTAATTTTCACATTATCATTTTCGAGATTTTGGAATTGACCCGGTTCGAACACGCACGGTCTAGATTGGTACGACAGCGCTATGCATCACCGTCGAAAACTATCAGTTGGAGCTCGAGAAGGACTATGTGAGGTTCTACGATGGTGCCGGGGTGGAGGTGGCCTTGTAAGTTTTACGGCCGTATTCTTATGGGCCGTTTTTGAGTTTTCTGCCTTCCGGGACCTAACGATATTGATGCTAACATTTTCAGTTTGACCGGCAACAACGTTTTTGGCGCGGAATTCCAAATAAACGGCACCGCCGGCTCAGCCAGGCTGACGACAAATGAATACCTCGTCTACAGCGGGATTAGATTTGGAGTGCGGGCAATCAGCGATGAGCCGCCTCAATGCAACCTGCCATGAACGGGCTGAAGGCGATTAAAATCATGAATAAAGAAATTAGTTTAGAATACATTATTGCAACACTAGCACCAGAGGGTTTGAAAACATTATTTTTAATTTTGAGGGCTTTGAGCTACGTAACTAGCCGGGCTGCAGTAAGGTCTACTGTAATCCAATACAATTAAAATTCTCGACAAAATTTCATGGAGCTGCATGAGGCTTGATTAGCGAGTTATTTTCGAAAAGCTCGGGAAATTTAATCCCAAGTATGGCTGCATGATTCAAAAGGTGAAAATCGCACCATTTTGGGGAAAAATCCAAGGACCGTTTCTTCAGCTGCAGACATTTGTTATCACGGACTATAGCCTAGCCGTAAAACAGAGCCATCGGAAGATCCACAATTAATTTTTGTCGCGATAAGCCGGTTACGGTGAATCGTAAACGGCTATTTTAAGTACTCCGGTCCGTCGAATAGCGCCGTGACATTTCGGATTGTGCTTGCGTCTAGGTCATTTTCAGACGGTTATCACCGAAAAGCGCACTTTATGAGCTAATTTTGCTGCATTTAGCAGAATCGTTTTTGGCAGGACAGTATAAAGTTGGGGGTCATTGCACGGTCTTGAAGCAGGCTGGCTTGTCTTGCGATGGTCCTGAAGGCTGCGCTTCTACTGGCGCTGGGTACGGTAGTCATTTCATGTTTCTCGATTTCAGCCCATTCTAGCGTCAGCCGTCGCGTCAAAATGCGTTTGCTCTCGCAATTACACAAGTACTGTACCCTCGTTTGTCATCAATGGTGCGTACGATGATGAAACCTTCGAAAATTGCTCTCCGCAGAAATGCCTCATCGTCATCAACCAGAACAACCCGGCGAGGGGTGTTGGGGTTACTACTGTATTTCCATTAAAACTTCTTTGTTTTCAGGGTTTTGTGATTAACGAATTTGTCCAAGCAGGCAGCCGCTTTACCGTGACAATTCGCGACGGAGACAATCCACAATTTGCGTAGGTTTTTTTACTTTGTATGCGTAGGTATACTTTTTGTCCCAGATGCAATGAGGCGCTATTAAATTTCTTAAAGGGGCACCGAAATCTAAATCATAGCCCTTTGGGAGAGTGCTTGGTTTCTAGCAGATTGCCAGCGGCCGCGACGAGGGGACGAGAGCCCTGATTCTTTCGATTTTTGCGCAAAATGGTTATTGCCAGGTTTCATTGTGAAAACACTGTAATTTGCAGATTCTAAGCTCATTTCTAAAACCCACATTCAATTCAAAATAGTTGTGGTGTTTTAATGATCGATTATACGTATAGGGTTCCGCATTTCGCGCCGCGCGAATTTTTGGCACGCCAGTTCACCTTTAAGCAGAAGTATTTTCTGGACGTTCAGTTCCCAAAAGTAGCAATAAGTTTGCTTAGCTTGACGCGCGCCAATTACCACTTCTTCACTGACGCATTGGCTGCATTCGTAAGCAGGACTTCATCGGTCACCATTGAGCTAGCATATAATGGTGATCTGAATGGTGGGTTCTAGAAACCCTCAATCTACAAAAGACAACCATTTAGTTTCGTTTAATATGTATGCATTCTGGCGTGATCTAGAGCCAACCAGGACCCCGGTTACGGTACTTGGGATGTTTTGAAACATCGACTTTCTCTCAGGGTGCTACCTACCCGCCACCCCTCGCACGCGCAGGAAATTTGGGCGTGGATTTGGGTATTGTTATCGACCTCGCCGGCGATGATGAGGAGGCCTTTACTGCGGTAATTGAATGGCCCTTAGCGCTTGGATTATAGGTTCAGATGAAAAACACGATCAAAATGACCATCAGCGAGCTGAGCGTCCACCAGGATCCGAAAAAAGTTTATGGTGCCCGGCTGTCGCTGCAGTACCTTTCCGCTAATGGGACTGGGGCCAATAACATGTTTGAGCCATGGTTCGTGCGCTTGAAGAAGCTATAGTAGTGACAAAGTCTTTGAGACTATGTGGTGTTATTTCCCTAAATTGTTAGCCTTCTAGCTCGACAGGGTGTCCCAAAAAAATACCCCCCCGCAGACGTGTCCGATTTTTACGATTTAGGTATCTTTCAAAAGCGCTCGAAAAGGCGTAAGCTTTCGTCGATTCGATTTGCGAAATTTGGGAGTTTTTCTTGCTCGATTCTCGCCATCTTTCACGCAACAAGGAACGCTTTTTGTCAAAAACTCAATTTAACCGGTGTAAGCGTTATGAGGTGTAAAAAAAAGAAAGGTGTAAAAATCTTTAAATTGGTTTTCTTAAAAACCCTTTGATCAGAAAAACATTCGAAAATCCGCATTTTGAGCAAGAATATTGATCAAAGTTGGAAAAATTGCCGGACTCGCCTTTCCGAGATCTTTCGATAGATACCTCAAACGCCAAGATCGGGCATATCTGCGACCGGCTAGAGTGGGGTGTGTGATTTTTTGAGACGCCCTGTAATTCTCATTTGTCCCGGCTAGGCATGAGACTTCTAAAAACCGAATAATATCATCACAAAAAAGACCACCATCGCATGACTTGTTTTTTCAGGTCTGCATCCGTTTCTGACGTCATGTCCGCCCTCGATCAGATGCCGACTGGTAGCCCAACGGCCAATTATACGAGGTTCGGACGCGTCTAGCAACAAAGCATACTTTCAGCGCTCTTTCTACTTTCCTCAACCTGAATGGATCGTTTTCCACAAATTCAAGCTATGGAGCAAGCTCGCGAAAGAATGTACAACTGATCTATGCTATCTTTACGCAACATGAGTTAGTAACAGATCGGCAACAATTCCAAAACCAACTGCAGGCCGGATGATATCGCCGGCTTGAGCAAACTCATTTCGGATCAAAGAAACCCGGATGTACATGTTGTTTTTCATTGGTTCCGGGCGACGCCCTCCGTCGACTTTCGAGCCTTGTCAGCATACTATCCTAACGTGGCTTACCTGCCGTATGACCCAGCGAATCCCTTTAATCTCTACAACAACTATATCTTAACCGGGGATACTGGTTTGTCTTCATCTTCGCGTAGCAAAGTTCCTGGAGTATGATTTGTTTATGCCTTTTCATCAGATCCGAGATTTGGATGCGGAGGCGGGAGGAGCGAAACGCTTTTACTGAATGGACGAATCTCATCGTACTACTGGCCACCGCTTTTTAGGGGAACGTCAGCCAACTACTGCAACAATCAAGCATCGACATTGACCATCATTGACTATCCAGTAGGCGCCTAGGCTGCTTCCGAATCGAAAAAAATAGTGTTTGGCTAACAACGGCTTGCCAGGGCACATCAAATGAAATGACCAAAGGGCTATCTCAAAAAAACATTGTTTGTAATTCAGGAAAGCACCAAAACCATCTACATCAACGTGGCTCAGTACGAACTTGAAATGGAAAAGGATTATATTCGATTTTTTGACTCGGAGGGAACAGAGCAAGGAAGGTAATCCGCTTGGTATGGAGAAAACGAATTTAACCACCATCTTCTCTTGTATTTTGAAACATTTTAGTGTGACGGGTGGAAACGGGGGCCAAGGGCCCTCCTTCACTATTAATGGCTCGTCGGCCACGGTCACCTTTACCACGAACGAGTACCTCGCTTACAGCGGAGTTTTCCTTTTGATCACCCCTTATAAATAGTTCTTAGTTAATTTCCCGAACGACACAAATCAACACACCCCATTATTCTTCAGGGATACAAAATAATCGAGAATGTATGAGCCAGTGGAAACCATGCATTGGACTCACGATCATTGACTTTCAAATCAGGAACGCTCCTTCCCTGACGCATTTGTGGGCTCGCAAATTTGTCGCATGCCGGCTTCCATTTGTCACTCTTTTGCCAAGACGAAATTTTGCCAAAATGGAGACCCGCAGGCGAAAAATTTGGCTAAATTAGCAGCGCCGCAAGTTATATAGATATAAACAAGTAATAAAAACAGCGTCGCAAGCGAAAAAATGCTTGGACTGACTACCCTGCCTACAGGGTGGGCAAAAAAGTATAGAGTTTGGGTCGAAATAACTCGCGAACGGTAGAGAATCGAAGGTAAGTTACCATGCCAGAATGTTTCAATATGCTGGGCATGAAAATTTAACAGAACTTGATTTTTCGATTTTTGGCGACGTAAGAATACAAATGACACCCGAAAAATGTGCGTTCGGGGAAAGTTCATTTGCATTCCTGGGGTGGCTGTAGTGTCGGACAGCACCCCAAGAAACGCACCCCGGGTGCCTTTGAAACGCACCCCAGGGGGTCTTTGAAACGCACCCGGGGTGCCTTTCAAACGCACCCCGGGGTCTGTTTGAAACGCACCCCGGGGTGCGTTTCAAAGGCACCCCACTCCCTCGGGGGTGCATTAATAGTGTCCCCGGGTGCCTTTGAACGCACCCCGGGGTGCCTTTCGGGGTGCGTTTGGGGGTGTGTTTTGGGGTGCGTTTCGGCCCCACAGGTGGCAAAGAATCGCAAGGAAAGCCGATAAATAAAAGTATTTTTGGCATAGGAATATTACAGAAACCTTATAAAACCCTTCAATATGCTATTCTTGCCTTATTTCATACTCCAGTAACATCCTATTAATTGTTATCTGTTCCATTTCTGAAAAACATGTCAATAATTTCAATCATTTTTGCCAAAAGCATGAGTAAAACATTTTAAGCCCCGATAAAATAGGAAAATCGTAACATAAATCGTTTAAAACTCCAACACAGCCTATCAAATATAACTTTTTGAAAGCGGAGCCGTCGGATGGCATCAATTCTGTATAGAAAACATAGTAAAACATATCTGTAATATTCCCATGTCAAAAATACTATTATTTATCGGCTTTCCTTGCGATTCTTTGCAACCTGTGGGGCCGAAACGCACCCCAAAACACACCCCCAAACGCACCCCGAAAGGCACCCCGGGGTGCGTTCAAAGGCACCCGGGGACACTATTAATGCACCCCCGAGGGAGTGCGGGGTGGGTTCAAACAGACCCCGGGGTGCGTTTGAAAGGCACCCCGGGTGCGTTTCAAAGACCCCCTGGGGTGCGTTTCAAAGGCACCCGGGGTGCGTTTCTTGGGGTGCTGTCCGACACTAGGTGGCTGCCTCCTAATTTTTTATTAAGTAAGTTAATGTGGGCAGCAGATATCCACCTGCAAAATTTAAGAATTTTTGAGGGTCTGCTTGACAAGTTATAGAAGAATGACATTTTGTATGGGGAAATTTCGTAATTCTTCGATATTTAAAAAACTCATGGTGGAAATGTCAAAATAACTAGTCGTGGAATACCTACGGACTATGCACAATCGCATAAACATATTGAAAAAATTTTCGAGATCGACGAATTTTCGAGTTTTTCAACGACCCCCTGGTCATGGAATTTTTCGAGGTCTCGCAACCGAACTTTGGAAAAATATTTCTAAATTGCCAAAGGAGACCCAATTTTTTTCTTTTTTTGGCTATGTAGAACTGGGGCTTATCTATCATCTACAAAATTTCGAGCCACCGTACCCCTTTGGAAGGGCGTCTTTTAGGACCTCCAAAACGGTTGGTTCGTGCTTTTTTGCAAACCCTGTCACCATTTTATAAAATTTAGTCGCGCCTTGACAATTATCGTTTTATTTTTTTCTGATACCATTTAAATAGCGCATCCTAAAGCCCTGTTCGTGATTTTTTTTTGACCAGCCGTTGGCGCCAAGAAAATTCATCAAAAACCGAAATAAACCGAATCTGAAGGGGCGTAAAAAAATTTTGGGAGGTGAAGCCGAGAAATTTTTACCAATAAATCTGTGTTATCAGCTAAATAAAACTATGCAAAGACGAAAATAATTTAGCGTCGCAAAAATTTTAAGAAGAATTCTAAACTTCGATTTTGGAACAGGGTGATTCTTGGTTTTGAGCTGAAAGTCACCATAATTTTGAATCAGATTGCTCCGGAATTTGACAGGCGTAGATAATAACATCAAAGCTATAATCGTATCTGTGGAGTCCTAATTTAGCTGTCGGTGTTCAATAGTATAATTCGTAGGAATCCACTTGATTACGATAAGTTTATTTAGGATATAGGTTGTATACGATATAAAGAGTATAAGCGCGGAACACCTGGGTCTGCTAATGCTGGCAGAGGGCTGAGTGGGGTGTTCAGAGCTTGTCGAGAAAGTCGGGGGGGTTTGGAAAAAGAGAGCATTTCATGGGTCCAAGCGTTTATATATCCTTGTTTTGCCCCGCCTCCTTTTGCCTTCCCTGTGGGGTCGAGGCGATTCTCGACACTCCGGGCCGGCAAGAGGTAGAGGTAACAAGGGTATAAAACGAAAGTTTGACATAGGAGATAATATGATTTGTAATTTCTAATTGGGTAATATTAGTTAGATAGGTGGTGAACGGTTGAGCTAGATATCATAAAATCGAATTCAAACGTTAATTTGTGGTATTCTCAAGCTGGAGCGTTATGTGTGAAAAGGGGGTTTTAGCTAGAAAAAGGGTTTAGTAAATATGAATTGGGATCGTTGGCAAGATGGGATTATTTTCGTAAATTTTTGTTTTGTTGTTGTTGGAGTCGGAAACTGGAGTAGTCAAATTCAAATTGGTTGGGCAAAGTTGCGGAATAGCGAAATAGGAGCTGATGAAAAATGGGTTAAATGGCGGTGCGGGTTGATGGGGGGGTTTAGTACAATCGCGGGCAAATGAGATTGCTGTGGTTCCCACCACAGAAGGAACAGGCGCCTTTTATTTTACAGGCTCCGTGTGGTGGGTGGGAGTGGGTGCAGAACTTGCATCTCTTCTGAAGAGCCAGTAGTTGTTGAATGTCTTCGGTGCGGACAAATTTGCACCTATAAATTGAATGGTTGGTACAGGTCTGATGCGCTTACCTCTCAGCGAGATGCCCGGGTCGTCCGCAAAGCCGGCACCAAGTCCGGTTTCGCGGGTACTGGGGGTTGGATATCGCCTCGCGCGTCGGGAATATGGGTGATCCAGACGGCAGCAGGTCGGCTTGCGCGGCTTGGTGTTGGGTGAGGCTCCGGGTTTCAGTGCGGACACCGCTACGGTCGTAGCTCCGGGGTTAATTGCGGGTACCGCCGCTGGCGTAGCTCCGGGGTTCATTGCGGACACCGCTGCTGGCGTAGCTTCGGGGTTCGGTGTGGGCTCGTCGGCTGGCATGGCTTCAGGATTCAGGGCGGGTGTGGTCTCCCGGCTCCATGAACTCTGGAAAGGGGGGAGTGATATAAGGACTTATTTAGCTCCAACTTGGATAGCTGCGGTAACTTAATGTTGGCGATAGATTTAATTGATGTTTGCCGGAAGTAGCCCAGTGAAGCTTGGACTTAGCCTGAGGTATTAGAGATTGTGAGGCTCTAAGGGAGATTAAGATGGATGTTGACCTTGATGTATACTCATTAAAGAAATTCAAGGAAATGGCTGAAAATTCCCTGCATTCTCAATGATAATGATGCTGCAAGTCTTAATAAGTTTGGATTGATCCTGGCTGATGAGAATGAGTGTGGGGCACACGACGCTGAGTCTGGCCTCAGGATTGAGCTTGAGACTTATGCTGACGTATGAAAGAACTCCAAGGAATTAGCTGGAATTCCCTAAAGCCTAAGTGATAATGAGTTTTTAAAATAAGATTAATTTGGGACTCAGCTTGGCTTATCAGAATCAGTCTGGGCACATGACGGTGAGTCTGGCCTCAGGATTGAGTTTGAAATTTAAGTCGGCCTATTGAAGAACTTCAAGGAAATAACTGAGATTTCCCGAAGTTTAAATAAGAATGAGTTTATAAATTATGATTAAGCTGGGATTTAGTCTGGCTTGTCAGAATGAGTGTGTGGCACATGACGGTGAGTCTGGCCTCAGGATTGAGTTTGAAATTTAAGTCGGCCTATTGAAGAACTTCAAGGAAATAACTGAGATTTCCCGAAGTTTAAATAAGAATGAGTTTATAAATTATGATTAAGCTGGGATTTAGTCTGGCTTGTCAGAATGAGTGTGTGGCACATGACGGTGAGTCTGGCCTCAGGATTGAGTTTGAAATTTAAGTCGGCCTATTGAAGAACTTCAAGGAAATAACTGAGATTTCCCGAAGTTTAAATAAGAATGAGTTTATAAACTGGTGTGTATACTTGGCCAGTTATTCGGAATAAAGCGAAAACCAGTGCTTGATCAGATTGAATTCTTAATTTTGATAGTCAGGGTAAACTAAACTTTTTCGGAAGTCATTAAAGATGAGCATGTGAACCTGAGTTTTGACTTACATGTTCGTTTGGCTGCGGCGAGTACATCATCCCGTCATCGGTGCTGTCGTTGAGCGACATTCGTTGAAATTCAGTCTGGGGGGGAATAGCTGCCGGGAATTGGCCTTCTTGTAGTGTAGGCCGGCATGCGTCTTGTTCCCTGACCACTTCGAAGGCTAGGTCAAGGTCCGCTTCAGAAATACCGGCGTGGGAGGGTGACCACATCGGGTCTGTTCCGAATAGAAGAAGCTCGTCGTCGAGGTCCAAGTTATAGTTCGAGTCCATCTCCAATAGGTGATCCCAGTCATCCAAGGTGGAGCAGGACTGGTATCTGGGGCTGCCGGGTGGGGAGCAAGTGAACCCAAAGTGGTCCATTCGGTGACGGGACATGGCTAGGTGTTCAGATAGCTGTCGAGGGTGGGAGAAGGTGGTCGTGGGGGTTACTGTGGATGTTGGTCGTGTGCTTGGGTGGTTGAAGGGGGAGAATGATCTTGGGCTGGGACTTAGGGCCCTGATCAGTGGGCGGGGCTGATTTCTCGAGGTGGCTAGGCACGGGTTGGTCGTGCTTGCGGCTGCTTGATGCTCGCCCAGGCCCTTATGGCACTGAACAGAGAGGAAAGAGAAGCGAAAATTACCGTCCGGAGCGGTCCGGTGATCTTGTAAAATATAATAATAAAGGGCCAAGTGAAGTAGCAGATTGCTAAAGCGGCCGCGCCGATGAGAATGATCAATATCGCCCGAATAATGGGGTATATCGTTGCTTTGATGTCGACGATAGCCTGTCGCATGCGTGAAATACCGAACAAATTGTCTAAAAACGAGTCTTCCCGTTTTGGGTATGGGGTCGTCCGGTGCGCGATGGTAGGTTTGAGATTGGTTTCATTGCTGTGGTCTTCCGTTTTGGCTAATTGAACCTGCTCACTACTGGTGGCTTTCAGAGTCTCGTCGATAGAGTGTTCGAGGAGAATTAAACCTAGTCCCAACATCTCGCCTACTTCTTTCTCCGCGACCGGATTTGTCGGGTTCTTTTTAAGAGAATCTGATCTTTCCTCCGCATGGAAGCTTGTGTCTAGCGTCAAATTTTCTTGCCCTGATTCTTCTTTTACTAGAAACGTTTTCTTTGACGTAACTGTTGTTTTCGTTACGTGCGTCGCTACTAGGGTCGGTTGTGCGGTACGGTTACTGATTTTTGTGGCGGGAACTGAGGGGCTGGTCGAATATTGCACCGTTTCCAGTGGTGTTTTCGCCGATGTCCTGGGTTCATCCCGTTTTCCTCCGTTAGTTTCTAGGGGAAAAATCGGAATAGTGAATTCTTCGTCGCGGCACTGAAGCCTGCAAGTATGCTGTTGGAGTTTTGACCTGGGAAGGGAAAAATTTGAGATTTCTGGAGTCTCCGGGCAAGGGATTACGAAGAGGCCGTCTCCGCACTTTGCTAGCGCTTGCTCGTGCTCACTTTGACACCTAAAGATTATACTGTAGTGATTCTCTAGGCTGTCAGTTTGTAGACTTGCTGTAGCTCTGCATGGAATTTTAGGGCGTTTCGTGCTACGAGGTGCTTCTGGCGCATTCGGGATTCCTTGAAAAATTTCGGCGAAGGCGATAACTCCGAGCTCTACTTCCTTAATGTCCTTGGGCGTGATTTCGATATAACTGGAATCGTGTGCTTGGGATATGGAGTCCTTGGTGGGTAGCGATAGAGGAAGTTGATGCGGCTGGATGGTACTCGATAATTCTGTATCTCCGCATGTTAGACCAGTTTGATCGTAGCACGTATTTAGAAACATACAGGTGGTCCAATTTCCGTAGATGTTGGTGGGGCATTGGATTGCTAGCTTCCCTAGTGCTTCTTGAAAGAGCGCATATACTTCTCCGCCTTGTCGTAGATACTTGGCGCCCAGCAATGGGGTGTGAGGAGGTATCTCTCCATTAATAGTAAGCTGTATATTGTGCCTGAAGTTAGGGTGGGGGTCTTGAGTGTCAAACGTGACGGTTCGATTTCTGCCGCCGCGCCCCTTTAGGATTACATCGGTTACGGTATGCAGGGACCATGATTCGCATCTGAATATCTGCAATGGTTCTGTGCCTAGCGGGACGGCAAAAGATCGGGTGATGAGACAAGTAGGTCTGTAACGACAGTGTTCTGTCATGGGTTCCTGCTCCTCGTAGCAGAGCATTTCTCCTGGGATCGGCCCATTGTCCGTCATCATCGTGATTTCCGTGTGATTGATTCTTCGGCAGATTTCTCGAGCGCATCCCCCTTCCCCTTCACAATTTTCCTCAAATGCTGAAAAGGTTTCCGTGGGCCAAGAGTAAAATAAGGTCTTTTCCTTGCATTTATAAGAGGCTTTCCGGATCTTAATTTGTAGCTCGCCGATAATCTCTCCGGTTTGGCTGTCATATACACGTTTGCATATAGGCCGCTTCCTTATCTCTTTGGGGACCTGAATGTTAATGAATTGCCCGCACGGTCGGCTGGTGCATGCGACGTCCGGCAGGGTGTAGGCTGGCTCATATGTCAGACAGGGCGCGCTTGCCTCTAAGGGCGCCGCCTGGGTGATAAAATATGCGCCCAGCAACTGCCAGATTGCCACCTTCGTTGGGGTTGCGAGCCCGATTGAGAGGGTGGAGAGGGTATCCGCGCGAGTGGAGGGGACCAAGGAGAGAAAGAGCATGAGGGTTGTGATCGTGATGAGTAGGGAAGTCGTGGCCAAGTTGAATTGTACTCTCCTTTTTGGCCTGGCCCGAAGTTCGTAATGATCATTTCTGTCGCGATCCGTGGCATTGCTGTCTTCCGATATCATTTCCTTTGATTCTTTATTTTTAAGGGGGCGTCCTCTTCGGTTCTTGGTCGTTGAACTGGGCAGCTTGAGCGCCCCTCTTCTTCTTATTTCGGGGAGATTTTCAGTATTGTTTTCCTTGGTGGTGGCCGTCGGAATGTTATTCGAATCATGAGTCGGTTTTCTGACTTCTAAGGGGATGACTGCGTCCGTAGGTCGTTCGTGGATGTTTCCGCTCGCTGTTTTCAGTTTGACGGTGCGGCATACTCCATCCGAGCTAATTTTTTGCTCTGTAACGATGGCGAGCGGCCACTGGCTTCGAGGCTTCTTATCCGATGACAGGAGCACCACCTCACCGACTTCAGGTACGGTGGCGCCCTTTTTCGGGTTATAATGTTGCTTGCGCAACTCAGAAAGGTATTCGGACGTCCATTTGTCCCACACGGCTTCGATGAGTTCGAGTCCTTGTCTCCAAGAGCGTTCGAGGTCACCTTGTGAGACGGAGGTCTGTAGTGGATCGTACTTGGCGTCTCCGTCCAGCAATAACGTGGTTTTCGGATAGATGAAGTCACAGGGCCGAATCGTGATGTTGTTCATGTCGCCATATACGTAGCTGAGTGGTCTGGAGTTTTGAATGGCCTCAACTTCTAGCATGTGAGAGATGAAGTCTTCCCATTCTAGTTTTTTAGGGGCGGTGATCTTATAAAAGGTGGATTTGAGTAATCCCATGGTTCTCTCGTAACAGCCGCCGTCTCTAGGGCTGGCCGGGCGAATCAGTTGCCAGGAAATTCCTTGTTTAGTTAAAATGTCGTGAATTTTAGAATCCTCTATGAATTTCCGGACTGCGATGAGGTTGGTTCCGTTGTCGGAAAGCATCTGTTGCGGAACTCCGCGACGGGCTACGAAACGACGAAAGCAATGAAGGAAGGTGACCGCGGATAGATCTGTTGCGAATTCGAGGTGGATCAGCCTGGTTGCGAGGCATTGAAAGACAGCGATCCAAATTTTTGTGGGGGCTTCGTTCTTTTTGGTGACAAACGGTCCCATATAATCCACGGCGCATGCGTGAAAGGGATGCTGACGCTGGACGCGGAACTTGGGTAGGTTCGGGGACCGGATTTGTCGGAACCTCTTCTTTTGCATCTTAATGCATTTCACGCATTTGCTGAGGACTTGTCGGACTGCCGCTTTCAAATGTTGGCTTTCAAATCGATCGCGGATAGAAGACGTCGTATGGCTGGTGCCTGCATGACCGAGGTCTTCGTGGGTTTTTCTAATTATTAGGGGCAGTGTAGGATCTTTGGCGTCTAAAAAGATGGGATGTTTTCTATCAAAAGTCCAAGGAGCGTTTTCCAGTCTTCCCTGAACTCGTTGAATGTCATTTTCGTCGGGAAATAGATCATATTTGTTCCTCACCGAGTCGTTTAAAAGTTTTTGTCGGTCCTTGATGAGAATGTTTTCTGCTGTGTTGAGGCTTGCTTTTTCGGAAATTTCTGGAAGTTTGGATTTAATGATTGCCCTGCTTTCGTCCGAGCATTTTCTGTAGATCTTTTTGTGCAAGAAATCAAGGCAACTTCTGGTGGTCCCTAGAAGGCGCCGATATGAGCTGAATCTCTCGACTGGGAGCAGAGGTAGCTGTGCTTTTGGTCGGCAGATGGCCAATACTTCAGCGTTTAGGTCTTGTTTTTCCTTGATATCGTATTTTGGTAATGCGAGTGGCCACTGGCAAATTGCATTTTTGGGCCCGAAACGCCACAAGTTCCCATTGATGCTGGCGAGGCTCGAGGTCCCTCGGGAGCTTTGATCAGCTGGGTTGTCTTTCGTATCGATATAGTGCAAGGTGAAACCCAATTCTGAATGAATTTTCCGGATTTTTGTCTTCATATTAGAGACTGCGATCGGAGGCTTCATCTGAGCCACGTTGCAAACCCAGTTCAAAGCTATCTGAGAGTCGCTTAGGATAGCTTTTTCGACGAAATTAACGTAGGTGCCGAGGTGTTTAATGATAAAATTCATTAAAATACATCCGGAGAGTAGGGCCATCATTTCCAACCGAGGGATCGTAAGCGTTTTCGACTTGCTTTTGTCTTTAGGGGTAATTCGGTTTTTGGAAATAAGAAGATGAGATTCCTCTCCCTGGACTAGGTAGGCGCAGCAGCCGTATGCCTTGGTGCTGCTGTCGGTGCAAATAACTAGACGGGTTGGCTTTAAGGGGTCAGCAACTGCCTTACGGGGGTAGGAGATTGCTTGGCCCTCCAATTCGTCTATGAGATTTTTGAAATACTGGGTTCGAGCTTTCGAGAGGGGCTCGTCCCAATCCGGCGCATGTTGATCGTGCCAGAGCTCCTGAATGAACAGCTTCATGGGAATCACTCCGGTGCTGGCAAGCCCTAGTGGATCGAAGACTTTGGCTACGTAACTTACGCACTCTCGCTTCGTGAGTATTTGGTCTCCTAGTATTGGAAAACCGATTTGTAGCTGGTCTTGGATTGTATCCCACTGGATGCCAAGCAGATTCGCTGGGCAGCTTATATCGACGTCTTCAGGGGCGATTTCCGGTAGTGCTTCGCGAAGATTGGTCGTATATTGTCGTAGTGTCATAAATAATTTGTCTCGAAATAAATCTTTAGAGTCTCGGTATTTTTCGAGTGCTTCTTCCTTCGATCTGGCTTGTAGCAGAACGTTGTCGACATATATATTTGAGCGGATTTCCTGTGCTATGTTGCTAGTTTGTCGTTCCAGTATACCGTCGATTGCGGCAGCGAGGATCAGGGGAGAGCTTCCGGGCTCGAAGATCACAACTCGAAAACGGTATTCTATTATGTTATCCAGGGAGAAGGGTTTGCTGATGTCTTTGAGCCACAAGAATCTGAATTTGTCTTTGTCGGATTCAACGATTTTCAAGGCGTTGAATGCTTTGGATACGTCTGCCGTCATTAAATTTTGGAAGACTCGGGCGCGTAGCAGTAATCCGATCATATCTGGCATCAGAATCGAGATGGGCCCTTTATACATCGTGGCGTTAAGGGAGTTGTGGCCTTTAGTGTGCGCGGAGCAGTCAAAAACGATTCGCATTTTTGTAGTCTTGGAGCTTTCCTTGATTACTGCTCGGTGTGCTACGTAAGTCGGTCGAACTCTTGGGGTTTCGCATTCTTCCTCGGGGACGCGCTCAATGAACTTTTTAGCTTCTTGCGCCTTAAGATCGTCATCGTAGGCTTTCAGAAGGTTCTGGCGTTCCAGGGTTTCGACGAGTCTTTGTAATCTAACCTCGCTCTGTCTTCGGTTCGTTGGAAGCTGGTTCATGGCTTCTTCGTCTATCCATGGAAATCTGACGTAGAGTCCGTCTGGTCTTTCTTCCATGGTGTCCTTGATCTGCTGAACGACTTCTTGCTCCAGTGTGAGTTCGGGATCACCGTCCTTTATGCCGGTTGTGTCAATTTCCCAGAATTTCTTTAGGGATTCATTCAGATCCTCGTGCTCGTTGCGATCTTCTATCAGTTGGGTGCTCAGCGAGGATATGGCCATCGTTCGTCGGTCATAGTTCAGGGAGGAGCCTTGTCTGCCTCCGATAAAATTTCCGACGTGTGTTGGTAGTATCGTCAGCCCAGAGGGCAAGCGATGGGGCCTTTTGTTGAAGTCGTAGAGATCCCATATATTATCGTTACCTAGGAGGATCCCCGCTTTGGCGATCGCTTTGCGTCCGGCAATTTCTTCGACTTGTAGGTTGTGATTTGTGATGTACGCAACGTCTCGTCTGGTGGGTTTCACAATTGAATAAGGAGCAATCAGAGATTTGATCGTAAGAAGTTCGATTTTTCGGATCTTTCCCGTATCCGGTTCCATAATTCCTAGTTCGACGACTTTTGCGTCTCTGTTGATCTTTTCGCCTCCCAAGGTGCCGATCGCCAGCCGAACGCTGCCCTTAACTGGTAGATTCAATTCATTGCTAAGACTTTCAGAAATGAATGATAGCTGGCTGGCGGAGTCGAAGACGGCATGTGCCTTTACGGACTTATTGTTGCCTTGGACAGTGATTTTCCCGGCGAGGTTATGCGCTCGTGATCTGATGGGCGCATATTCGGTCGCCAGAGTGCTGGTGATCAAGGTGGACGCTTCTGGATCGGTTTCGCGGTCTGAATCTTCTTCTTCTGTGACTGAGGACCAGTCTGCGTCTGAATATGACTCGTCGGGTTCTTCGGAATCCTCGTTATCGTCGTCACAGGTGGTAGTGTATGTTTTATTCGCGTCTGCCAGGATGCGACCTGGGGTAGCTTCTCGGTTTGGGCTTGGCGACTTTCTAGTTGCTGGTCTGCCTTTGCGAGTTCTCGAAGCGATTTTTGGGTCTAGTGGGCAGATGGAGGGATGATGTCGCGTTGACCCGCAGCGGCAGGGCCGTTTTCGGCAATCGTGCGGATTTTTGCGCGTGCATACAAAACATCGATCCTCTTGTCTGAGCAGTTTTCGTCGCATTTCATTATCTGTGGTTTTACCACAGAACAGACTGAAATGGTCGGTAGCCTTGCAATATACGCAGAATTTGGGTCGCTCTTGGTTTCCTTTTCTTGCTATTTTATTTTGTGCATACGGGCGAGAGCGGAAGCGGTCCCTCGTCTTGGAGCGGTTCGAGTCGAAACTGTTATTAAGCGCTAGTGTCGTTTCTTCCTCACGACTATGCTTTTCGGATACCAGCAGAAGGTGCTCTGCCTTTTCGATGCTGGTGCGGAGCGCTTCTAGGTAATGTTCGGTGTCCCAGTGATCGTTTCCGTGTTCGGCTAGGTATATTTTCTTCTGGATATTCATGGGGAATTTCTTTGTGATGCGATCCCTCGTCATTGGATCTATTTCGACCTCGCGTTGGCGGATTTCTTCTACTGTAGCGCGGATGCGGTCGTACGTTGCTCCTGCTTCCGAAGTGGTTTTAGCGGCTGGGATGATTTCCAGTCTTTTAAACAGCGTTCGAACAAGTAGTTCCGGGTTGCCGAAACGCTGATTCAAAAGATCTAATGCAATTTGATAGTTCTCTGGTGTCAGTCGGAGTGGGCCAACGATATTTTGAGCTCTGCCTTTGCAGCTAGTTTTAAGGTATGAGAATTTGTCTAGGGCATTCAATTGTGCGTTGTCTCCAATGATGCGTTGGAATGTGGCGAGCCACGCTGTGTATTCGATCGGGTCTCCGTCGAATTCTGGAAGTTGAATTTCGGGTAGTCGAGGGGCGTTGGGAAGAGCTAGGCCTGGAGGGAAGATTACAGGTTGAGCGATTGCTGGCTCTTCGTGTGGTCTCTCATTTCTAGGATTGTTGTCGACCGGTGGCGGGCGGATATACTTGTCGTATGTATAAACCAGGGCTTCTAGGCTCTGATAAGCGTGGGTTAGCCAACGTATAATCCGTCGGCCTTCAGTCAGGATGTTTTGGTTTTCTTGCGTTTCTAGACGTTCCAACACGTTGACGAATCGCTCCTCGTCGGGATCCTCTTCGAGTCTGCTGATGCGGTTGATCTGCTCGTCTAATTGTTGCACAGCGCCTTCTAGCGCTCTTTTATGGGTATAGAGGGCCGGAAGACCGTCGATTGCCGTGGCCCTCTCTGCTTCGTTGACGA